GCTTTTTGAGACGGACATCTTAGTTCCTGTAAAGCAGTGTTATCCAATTTTTTTCAGCCATGGCACACCTTAAATGTAATGGCGTGTGGTTCGTGGTATTCAAAAAAAAATTACGGCTCACTAGTAAGCCACGGCACATAGTTCTTTGTTCTTAAAAAGTAAGGATCCCGTTAAAACTCCACCCATGACTCCTTAGCTGTCCAAACTTTCTAACTTGATAAGAAATTATAAAATTTGTGCTTACTGTTGTTGAACTGTATCTAGCTTTTGTGCAATCAATGCAAAATTTATGTTTCAATGCACTTAATGGTTCAATTAATGGTCATACTTATAATTCTAATGGTTGCTGTTTTTGATACTTTTCAAGCCTTTACATATTTGCAGACTTCAAAAACAATTGCTGTTGTAAATTATTTTAATGGCTTATCTGAGCAGCATATGACAGGAACTGTAATTGAACAATTTTTTAATGGATTTGCACAGCTTTGACCTACTTTCTCCTTAAAATCATAATCTATTCATATGTGTAGCAGTTATTACATCTTCAAGAAAATAAACATTCCTTAATAGCTATAAGGCGAAGCTTTCCAATCCTAAACATTTGTTGGAGCTATAAAGTTTTTGTAAACGACTTTAGTTTTCTGTACTTTAATCAGAACTTCAAGTGTAGGGAGGAGGTGTATGAATTTTATTAATTAGACATCCTTAACACCTTTAAATAAGTTTTTTGTTTGAACGAAATTTTCGCAGGAAGGGGATGAATAAACTCCTAAGTACGCCCCTGTAACCATAATTTAGATAGAACAATAAGCAATTATCAGTCTTATTTTCATGACTCTTAAATATGTAACAAGTTAACATATCAAGCATGCAGAATGAACTAGAAAACTATTAACCCCTAAACCTTTAAGCTTTCATTAACTATTAAAGTTCTACAAACCATCACGCAAAGCCTATTAAACAAGCCACAAGATTATCAGAACTTAGACATTTCATGTTGAAATCCTTAATTATTGCTTCTTCTTTTACCTCTATGGGAAGTATGTATGTTGTGGTAAAAGGCACAAATCTTCTTACTTAATTAAAATTGTGATACTATCGATAGTATGGCATCTAATGTTCATAGAAATTGTCAATATCATGTGAAGCTTCAAATTTACAGTTCAAATATTAATTTAATAGAAAATGAATAGCTTATAATTGTGGGAATTTTATAATAGTACCCAGATCATGTTTCAGAAATTTCTGATGTCAATTTTCGGTACTTGTCTGGCAGGTGTCTAGTGGGTTTAATTTCAGTTCATATCTTTTTCATAAATCTATATAAATTTTACAAAATTGGCTTTATATTTAGCTCGAGGATTTTGCATGATAAAATATCGCAATAAATTGCGGAGAATAGAAGCGAGCTAGATCTTGATATTATAAGTGCATTTCGTGGTTGAAAAATATTTATCAGCATGGATTTACGAGCCATAAATTTACTAGTTGTAAAATCCGCGATTAGTTTACAGCATTTTAGGTTACAGTGCACCACAATATTTGCTTCGTGAAAGCTTTTTCTGATATTTATTTGCTGTTTCCTTGTGAGGAACCACATTCAACATCACGTAAACAAGGAAACACTTGTTCTACTTATTACATTTTTTTCAGTATCTGATAACTTGCACGTGTATCTATTAAATATGATTGGCATGCAATGTAATGAAATTATGGGAGATATATTCGAGCTTAATGCTGAGTAATGATGTAATCATTGAGTTTTTTTGTTATTGTAAGGTTTGCTGGAACTACATTTTGATATATGCTGTAACTTTAGGGTTGGAATATAAAACGGTTTTTGTGTTGTAAACATAGTTTGGAGTTTTAGTGTAGTTTAGAAGATTGAATAGCTGTTTTAGGTGGGCCTGCAAACCATTTTAAATGGCAAAAGTTTCTACGTGAAAATGATAAAAGCTTACATCAATTCTTTGCGTTGTGCAGAAATTGTTGTAGCACCACTCTAAAATATACAAAGCAACTGTTGTGTCACAATAAAGCAACCGTTGTGTCACAATAAAGCAACTGTAGTGTCACTCTAAAGAAACTGTTATGTCACATTAACGCAACTGATGTGCCACTTTAAAGCAATTGTAGCGTCACTCTAAAACAACTGATGTGCCACTCTAAAACAACTGCTATGTCATACTAGAGCAACTGTAGTCTTACTCTGGAGCAACTGTAGTCTCACTCTAAAGCAACTGTAGTGTCACTCTAAAGCAACTGTAGTGTCACTCTAAAGCAACTTTTGTGTCACTCTAAATCACCTGTTATGTCACATTAACGCAACTGATGTGTCACTTTAAAGCAATTGTAGCGTCACTCTAAAACAACTGATGTGCCACTCTAAAACAACTGCTATGTCATACTAGAGCAACTGTAGTCTCACTCTGGAGCAACTGTAGTCTCACTCTAAAGCAACTGTAGTGTCACTCTTTAGCAACTGTTGTGTCACTCTAAAGCACCTGTTTTGTCACATTAAAGTAAAGTATGTTTGGTTTTATCATTAAAGTTTCTCAATCCTTACTTCCCCCTTTGTAAAAGCTCAAAAATTGTTGATACACCACCAGAAAATTTACTTCGTTAATTTAATGCAACTTCATTGCTTGGCTAGAAATAAAAATAATATTACCAATAAGACAACGCATTAAAATATTCCTTAACACATCGCTAAAGCTAATCATAAAATTTTCTTGAGTATTTAATTATCAAACGATGAGCCAGCATGAAAAGTCTGTGAAATTCTCACAATTTGCATCCTATTTACGGATGCTTTTGACTTTCCATCGCATTAGGGATTTAAAAGGTTGGAAAAGGATTTAAAGCCGGATAATCACGAAGCAACGAAGAAAAAAACCATAAAAATTTTCTCATTTAACGAAGCATATTCTCAATATCCGTCCTGAATATTAAACGAATCTTCTTGGAAATGCGCTTCTGTATCGCAATTATCTCAATTTTCTACAGGTCACGCGTAAAATGAAAGTTTAACGACTTTCAGATATTTTTCACATAAAAAATGGAAATTCTGAAATTACCATGAGAATTAACAAAGAAATTGGAAAGTAATAAAATTCAGCAGATTTCAATTAGGTTTTTAGATTTGGTTGGTCCACAAAATAAAACTTTTTTTTTCATCCATAAAATTCTACAGATTAAACTTTTCAATTAACGCTGAAAAGGAATAAAGCCAATGATTTCCGAGTATTATGACTGTTTAATATTCATGAAACATCTGATGGAGATTCACCATAAAATTTCTACTTTGTTCGAGGGGGACAACAATATGATGGGAAAAAATTTTATGTAAAATTATTCAACAATTTCTGAACAAAACTTTGAAAAGAAAACGACGGAAAATCGATGATAATTTCTCATCACAAAAATTTCCCTTCAGGTCGTTTTCCCCTCAACTTTTTTCAATTATCACATGCCTTTCTAAAACGGGATTTTGTTATAAAGTGAATATTTTATGTATTTAAAGTGGCAGCATAAAAAAAGGAAGGCATTTATTGTTTGATATTGAAATGGATAACAGAAAACAGAAACACACACACATGCACATGGCTAATAACCATTTTTATTCATGCCAATTTTGCCTCGCATTTTGTGGTAATTTTGGTGGTGTTTAGGAGTTCAAGCTATGAAAAGCTGCCTGATTACATATCCACATGTTAGCCCAACCAACTTAACTTGTGGCGCTAGTGGTTTAGATTAGACATAGGGCAGATCCACATTCCCTTGGTTCATCATTGTAATTTTCTTTAAACATCTCAGCACAAATCCATTTCTTATCCTCAAATAAAATCCAACAAAAACATCTACGCCTTAATTCACAATGACTTTTGAGATGATTGCTTGGAAAATTGGATAAATAAGGCTCTTTTGTAGGATTTAGCAATTTCGTGAAGCATTACGTTTCTAACTTTTCACAATTCTTCTTCCTTCGAAGGGAAGGAAGGAAGGAAGGAAAGAAGGCAAAGGTTTAGCTCAAAAACAAATTTAAGTGTTTTGTGAACGGTCTTCGTTTGTGATAATGAAGGGATGAAAAAAAATTGAGATAACCGAATGATTTTGCTTTGGGGATGTTTATGCAGTGCCTGACCTTAAATATGTTAACTTCATAATACTTATTAAATGACCTTGAGATTATTATCCTTTGGTGCTGATTTGAAAAGGGATGCAGATTTTGCTTGGATCTTTGGATTTAGATATGACAATGAATAGCTGTAAAGTCTTGAAGACTTGCAAAATCTTGTCATATTTTTTTTAATCGAAAATATCATGAATTTCAGTCAAAAATCAATGGTCAGCCTACATATCAGGCAACTATCAATATTTATTGATGGTGGGAATCGAACTTAAGCGTTTTATGAATTTAGAGTTACAGTTAAACATGCTGTTGTTAAACCATTTGGTTACAAAAGGATTTCTTTCTTCCTGACAAAATTATTCAGATTGGGGGTTGTTAACAAATGATATCTTGTCCTAATTCTTGAAGAGGAACTGATGATGAGTATCGCTTTCGTATAAATAAAGTTTCTTGATATGAAAAATTTTAGAAAAAGAAGGTGGAAGGAGTTCAAAAAGACTTTGGATGGACGTCATTTATGAATGTTGCAAACAAAAGAAAAGAAAACCAAACAAGCCACAGAAATGCTCTCTAACCACAAAAAAACCCATAATAACCAATTCTACTTCTTTTTATTACAGCCATTCTCATCTAGTAAACGATTGTTGCTATAATCCATCGTTAAGACCGACAAAAAAGTATCGAAAAAATGTAAACATAGAAGAGGAATATTATTCGCATAAAAAATATTCAATTTCTCTCTCATCTACATCCTTCGCGTTGACTCTTTGCTTTTCGTTTACGCACCAAAAAACACATTCAGCATAGAAAAGGCACAATTTAAATACGCGAGGCTCCATAAAATTTAATAATTCTTTTTTTCTGTTTGTTCACACACAACTTTTTATGAGACGATAAACAGGACGAATAAGTGAAAAGTACAGCACATATTTTTCCAATTGTCGTAAATGATAATGTCAGATTTCGAACGTATCAGACTGGTGCTTTTAGGCGGGCCATATGTTGGCAAGAGTTGTATAGTCCGAAGATTTTTAACGAAAACTTATAATGACAAATATCGACCTACAGTGGAGGATCTACATAATCGAGAATATGACTTAGGAGCTGTAACATTAAAGGTAAGTAGCATCTTCAATTTGATTATCATGTACTAATTAGTATCCAATGTGAATATGTGGAAACACGATCAATTAGGTAGACATATTGGACACATCAGGCGACATGCAATTTCCGGCAATGAGAAGACTGTCAATAGCAACCGCACACTCTTTCCTGCTCGTGTATTCCGTAACATCAGCTCCAAGCTTTACAGCTGTTAAACAGTGCTTTGAGGAAATACGAGAACAGAGGGCTGATTTTCAGGTAAATAAGCAGATACTGCATTTTCCTTTTTTTTTGCTCCTATTTTAATTAATGCTGCTTCATCGTCATTCGTTCCATTAAAAGGTGCCTTCATTTAATGTCCACTCTACCGTCCGATTTTTAATTAGGCAACAATTTCTTTTTTCTCTTACTTTTGTGTAACTCGAATCCTGAGGCAAATTAAGAGGAGGGTGTCTTTTTTTTTATTGATTATAATATTTATATTAGCGCGGTTATAAAGTTTTGAATAGTAAGAATCACAGCTATAAAATGTCTCGGTTGTTCTATGAAAAAATCAAATCAACTTCAAGCTGGAACCCATTATTTAGTCAAAAGACAGTAAAGACACAGCCTTATATAACCAACCGCGCTCCTTCAATGCCCTTACCAAGAGTTCATTCACTTCACTTGTTCTCATTCATCCGAAAGCATGTTCAAATTTCCATATAAAATTTTTAATATAAAAATGATTAAATCATCGCTAGTGGAATGAGACACTCAAATGGCGTTAGCATAAAAAGAAGCGAGAAAAAAGAAACTTTTAATACGCAGTCAGTGTCAAAAAAAGTATTTAAAGCCTCCTTTTTTTAAAGTCAATTGATCATTAAGGATCTATAAAATGGCGGAACCTTAATTTTCAATTTAAATGATTTTAATGATAATGAAGGGACGAAAAAAACCGTAGATTAAATGAGGGACGGTTCCTTTTATTTGTTCACAGAATGAGTTTCTCACTTCGTTATTTTCTTTCTCTTTTCTTTTGTCTTCTTCCTGCATTTTGATGCTGAATATTACGTAACATAATATCCATAACAATCACCATCACAAACATCATTATTATAATGCTGAACAACAACAAAACAACAGGAGATACCAATTGTTATAGCAGGCAATAAATCAGATCTAATAGAATCAAATCGAGAAGTTCGCATTGAGGATGTATCCGAGTGGGTTTACTGTGAATTGCCGAAATTGAAGTAAAATTTATTTGAAATTTGTTCATGCATAAATAACTCAATTTTCTATTGTCTATTCCTTTACTGCTATTGACCATCACCTAACTCTCTATTGCTGTGGATGACATCACCTCCCCAAACAAATAACAGGGTCAAAGTAATGGAATGTTCAGCAAAAGATAATTACAATGTAAATGAACTTTTTAAAACTTTATTGTCATTATCAAAAATAATACCGACTGAGAATAATGAAACGTATGGTGGACCATTGAAACGTAGATCATCTGCATATGTTAGTGCAACGAGTAAAGGTAAATGAATGATAAATGTTTGCATACTAAACACATGCATTATGGAAATTCCATGACAATCTAATTACGTTATAGAAACATACAATTTATGCTTGATATTTTGTATGTTTATTTATGTTGTGGAATATGAATATGATTCATAATAGCAGTTACTTTGTGACATAAATGAAGAATTTTATAATGTCTGCAAAATGTTCTTTTTTTGGTAGTGAAAATTCCGCAAATGGTTTTGCAGTAAGTCCATTTTTCGTCATAAAAATATTTTTTGCAACCATGAGAAAAATGCTGCCATCAATGCAGTCATTCGGGTATTGAAATGTAGAATCTGAATTATTTTTTATTGAAATGAATGCGAGTAGAAGAATTGAAACGACTGAATTTTACCTTTTATTTGAGAATTTGTATAGGAACGAGTAGAGCTACATTAACTCATTCGTTCAGATTGACTACAATATTTAGAGCTTGCAAGTGGATTAGAATTCCTTTCAAATCATTAAGCGAATCTGCCATTGCAAAAATTAGGTTTCTGTTACGCGAGTGGTTAAGCAACAGACCCGATATCTGTAACCTTCTTTTTAGAAGACGTGGGTTCAATTCTTAACAAAGACTGATTTTTCAATAATTTTAAACTGGATGAGATATCCCAACAGGATTCGCAAAATTCTCACGACATTACAGACTCCTTTACACAATTTTCTATAACCTTCAATTTCCAAGGCGTTATACACTCAGAATTAATCCCAAAAATTATTCCAGCCTTTAATACCATCAAACTTCCAATCCCACTTAAAATCCCTCCATTGCTTATAAACTAAGGCTGGGATTTCAGATGGGATTGGAAGTTTGATGACAGGAAATGCTGGAATTTTTGGATTTTTCTAGGTTTCTAGGATTCATCCTAAGTTTATACGCCTTGTCAATTTCCCTTGTTTCATAGATTTATTTTTTTTGGTGAAAAATGTGTTAATTGAAGCTGAAACTTTTCAACGAATAAAAACTCAAAAAATAAAATCAATAATTCTACGCTAGATTGACTTTAAAAATAAATCTGTTGTGATTATATTAGCTACTGTACTTAGAAAATTTCCAGCAATTTTCATTTCTTTTACCACACAAAATCAACAATCTGATTCAAAAACAATAATTTCATTTTTATTTTCTCTGTACTAATCTTTTATTCATCGATCGTGAATCTTCTTTCTGTTTTTTGTTAAAGGGGTTGTTCAAAAGTGACGTCTTAGAGTTTTAGAAAATTATTGTAGAGTTTTCTAGTCAGGAACAAAGCTAGAACTTTATAAACATTAGTTTTAAAAACCTTTCGAACAGACTCGACTAGAAACAAGAGGCTAAACCCCTGCTTTACCCCAAAAATGAACATGATTTGGTTCTGTTAATTTTAATGAACATAATTTATGAACGGCCCTTAAAGAAACTTTTCTTCGATTTTCATTTATTGGAAAATGCTTCAATTTTCAAGATGATTTCTTGAGATAAAAAAAAATATTAAAAAGAACAGTAAAAAAAAATCGGAAATTAAATCTCATTGATATTAATGAGAGCAAATTGAATTCATCAAAGATTTTTCCACGACAAGCTTTCAGCCAAAAAGCTCAGAAAAGTTTATCAAAACACCATTAAAATGTTTAATTTAAGAAAAAGGTTTTTGAAGATTTTTTCAAAAGAAGCTTAAAATATTGAGGAAATTGAAAATAAGTAGAAGTCACAAAAGTTTCCAAGCCTACAGCAATGGATTCCCATTCGCTAGTTTACAGCTTTTATCTCAGCTAAAAGTAGTAAAAGTTTTTTCGAATGTGAGAACTTTCAAGTCTAACAATTTATATCCAATAAATTACAACTTTTTATGTCTGTCATAAATTTCACAAACTTTCAAAAACATGAATTTATGCCTTAAAAATGAAAAATGGACTTAACGCGATTCCTTCTTCAATTTTCTTTAATCCATCTAATTTCATCTTATTTTCACTTTCTCGTTTACAAACACAACAGGAAGAAATCGAGTGCCAAGTCCGTCGCTAAGTAACGATAAGACATCATCATCATCATTTATGGCATCATGTAGCAGCAACGGAAGTGAGGCATCATCTGCTTCTGACATCAAGTCAAAGCCACGATCTAGGTAATGTTTTGTAAATCACTCAGATGATTACATAAATACTTACACTTTTTTTTCTTATGTACATAAAAACTTGTATACAATATTACAACCCAAAAGTATATAAACTTGAACCTACATCAGCATTGTCATCATCGCTCATCTGATTTGACTGAATCTTTCATAAAGAGTCGAGTGTTGAAATTTTCATTTTCTTCTTTTTCTCCCTTCTTGTTCCTTATTTGTTGTTAGCTTGATTTTGTTGAATCGATGCTTAATTTTGTGGACATTTTATTGATTTTTGTGGCTATGGATTTGTTGTTTATAAATGATGCATGGCTGTATCGCTGCTGTATCTCCTACTTGCGAGATCCGAGGATCAACAGACTTTTAAAGACCTTTAACTAGAAAAAGTTTGACGCTGAATAGAAATCCGGTATGTTGCTGGCTTTGATTTAGATCCAGCACCAAGTCAATGTCAGTGCATAATTCAACTTGTGTCATTCGGGTACATCTCAGGTCACCTCCTGCATTCCTATTTTCTCAAGACTTAAGCGCTTTATACTCTCTCAACAACAACTACTCATACTTACCTGAACACTTCCTCATTTTATTACGGATGATGTTATACATATGTATGATCCCATTTGTTATTGAGTACGGAACGTATGTTCATAGACAGAATATATTACGAAAGCTATTTTTTGAGCAATCAAAAAGAATGTAGATGGAGAAAGCGGAAGAAGAGGAAAAAATCTCTTTCTATACATTTTACATGCTTAGTCAACCTGGCCAAATTTTCCTTCCGAACGATCCAAATAATTTGCATATCTTCTTTGTTCTGTATGCTACCCCAATACCGTTTCCTTTTTCCGTACATTTTTTCTCAAATAGTCTAGAATTATTTCTGATTTAGATTGCGAATGGATTAATCTCTCAATTTCATTCTCTAGGGTTTATCCTTCACTTCTCTATGTTCTCTGACACTAATGCTAGTAAATCTTATTTACTCGTTTCACTTTTATTTTATTTTATTTTTTCACATCTACACTCAATGTTATCGTGACTTTTGCTTTCTATTTTCATTTGTAGCAATAAAAATAAATAAAGTTAAGGTAAATGAGTGAGTTGAAAGCTTTGAGTTTACTGTCTATGAAAAGAAAGTGAGGAAATACTGCAGGAAGGGTGTAGGAACAGAATTCTGTTTACATTGAGTTTGTGCTTTTTCCATTTTGATTCACATGAAGTGAAATCTAATTTTGATATGAGAGGAGCTGGTAGATTCTAAATCAGAGTGGCGACTAGTTGAATTTTGATGAATATTTTACATGAAAAATGAGATTTAAAGCTTCATGTTCCGATCTTCACAAGAATGTCACTAGATTTAGATTTTCAGAAACTCAACTGACTTATCAAGCTTTAAACCTTCAAACTTATGCTGAGCAAATCTTGGTCTATCCATAAGACTTGTGATGGTACGGTGTGAATATATGCGCACTAGGTTTCTTCCCGATACACTAGTTTTAAATGCGCTCTAACCTGCTCTTACCACAAAATCACTAAAAACTTTCAAAACATGTTATTTTCTAGCCATTCTTTATGTACAAACAAGCAAAATAGTACACAATAGAGTTGAATGTTTAGAAACATCTGTTCACTTAGCGTGGAGATGAGGAAATGCTTGTAATTAAATCCTTAATCGTCTTTCCTCGAGTTTTCTGGAATTATTTCCTTTCCATACTGCTTTTCTTTGCTTATTTCTTTTAATGTTTTTCATCTAATTTAATGGTTTTCCATTTTCTCATTTCCTTGTCAGTGATTTAAATAAATGAGATTATCGCGTTTGTTCGAAAACAGTGTCTGAGAAGCAGTTCTTAAGTGATTAATAACTAAATTGATTTATGAGTGATTGTTATTCATTATTTAAACAAAGATGAGACCTTAAAGAAGGATTACCAGATATTTTTTGAAAAAAAAGGACCTGACAGAAAAAATAGAGAAAATCCCACGTGTCTACTAATTTTATTCGTTTTCTGGACAAACTAGAACAAAACAGAGCTATTTTAATTTTTGAAAAATTAAAAAATAGAGGACTGTCCCCTGAAAAACCAAGCAGCTTACCTTAAAGTGTAATTTTCCTAAGTTTTTATTTTGAAATCAGCAACTTAAAATTCAAGATCTTTTCATTGAAATTCAGAACTTTCTCTAATGGTGCCAACACACAGGTGGTGCAAGTTGTAAAATGTCATTCACTTTTGGCAATTCAATCGTGCTTGTTGATCGTAATGAAAGAGCTCTAGTCAGTATTGCATTCGATAAAGCTATAAACAGTTTATACCTTTTTGGTTGTCTAAAAGAAAATCATTTCTAAATTGAATTTAAGTGAAAATCAATTTCATTTTATCACGGCACAAGGGCAGAGCACAAAGAGAATTCGTCAATTTACACAGTTTTTGGCTATGTTCTTGCAACTCTTTCAACTGAGTATCAAAAATTCCTAAGAAGATTTGTTGAAAAATTCATACTAGCACCAAATAACTTCGTCTGCATGCTATTAAATTTTAATACTGTTTGATGATTTACTACATTTATATTTTATGGGGTTTTTGACAAATCATGTCTCTATAACATTTTGTGACATACCAGTAAAGTCCAATGAGAATCACTCAGACTTAAACTCTGATTTTTTTGCTATTTGTTAAACATTAAAAGTGAATGACTTCTAACCCGAGCGACGCAGAAGTTCCAAAAGTAGATTTCTCAAGGCTCCGATGCAATTTAATTTTTAAAGCATAAAATGGAATTTATTTCATGTAGCTTCGATATGGTGATGTTAATGAAACAATTTTTGAGTAACCTTGATGCGTCCTAATCGTAGCTTCTTTGCCATTCGTTTCGTTCGGGTAAGCAGCTTATCAAAACAATGTGAGAGTCCAATTAATGCAACAGAACTAGTGAATGTTGATTGTTTTCTGTTTGACTGTTTTATTTTGTGGTTTGTGGTGCTTTTATAGTTTGGTTTTAGTTTGTTCGTTTGAGTTAAAGTTGGATGTGATTTTTTGTATGTTAAATTTCTATCCCGAGTGGAACTTTTGACATGATAGTAGATTACTAGATGAAGGGACGACTAATGGCAATTTTTAAGGAAAGTTCCTATAAAATTGTAATTAGTGGTCAATATGTCTTGTAATTTACTAGACATCATGTCAAGTGTTTCACTCAGGCATGTTGAGGTAAAAAATGTGCAGGAGATAAACTTTAAGCGATACAAATTAATTACAGGCGCTCAGGATTTGTAATTCAAATCGAACTTATGCAAATTGAGAATCCTTTTAATTGTAGTTCCAGTCAATGATACAAATATTTTGATACAGCTCTTGGAAACTTGTTTGCATGATTTCCATTAAAATCCGAATATTTTTTAGCAAAAAAAAGCTTGACTGTTGAATGCCAATTCTGTAAATTATACACGTGTCACTACCCTCAAGATTTGATATATTTATATATTTGACGGAGAAAGCTTTCAAGAAATCTTAGGAATTTTCGGTTTCATTTCATTCCAAAAATTCTATTGAGATCAAGAGTTCAAGCAAGCCTAAACCTCCTTTTTTTGTTAACTGTTTCCAAAACAAGCTCCATTTCATCAAATGTGTAATAAAGTAGCTCCCATTCCACTCACAAATCTTTTAAAATGTGCGTAACGTTGGATATGATCAATTTTGTTGATTTCCTTGTTAAAAGATTGAAGGAAATAGAAGGAAATAAATAATACATCCCAAGCTCCCTTCATTTCATTTATAATAAATATTTTCGTGTAATAATAAATCCATTTTCTTATTTTTCATGTTTTTTTCACATTACATGGGATTCTTGCCATTACATAACACACACATGATTCTTTTAAATACACACATAGGCTACGAATCGCAAGGTTAGAGGACGAAACCTTTTTTGGATGTCGATTTTCTCCTCCTTAAAAATTTCCTCTTTCATTTCCGTTTCCTTTATTGAGAAGGGTATTTTTTTACATTTAATATTTTTTTGTACTGTCAATAAAAGCAAATCAAATGTTAGAATACATCAATAATTGAGCACAACAACTGTAACGATGGCTATTTTTTTTTATTCATCTTTAACAATAAAGTTCCGCTTGCCATGCCCCACTTACATATGCTCTCCCTCTCATAATGGTTATGATTGATTTCTGTTTAATTCATTTTATCGTAATGGAAAACTATTCATAATTTTTTTTGAAATATAATTGATATTGATTGTTATACAATGATACATTTACAAATCCAAAACATGTGCTACATACTAGTCAATCACAAATTGTTGTTGATTTCCTTTGGGATCATTTTTGTCAGATTTTTACGATGCATAACGGGAACTGATGGGAGCTTAAAAATAGTGGTGTATGTTTTCCCGATACCAAAGTCGAGACTGAGACTTCCCGGGAGGTCTTGGTCTCGGTCTCGAAAATTAGTCGGGAAACAAGAGGAGTAGTTATTGTGATTTTTTGATCATGAGGAAAGAATTCTTCAAAGATAGATGTATACGGATCATTAAAGTATCGAATGTGTATGCAACGACACCCCTTGTCGATTCTTCCTCTTATAATTTGTCACTATATTAGAGTCATTTGTCGCAGGTTCAAAAACCTTAAGTCTTCTAAATTAATTTATATTCTACGTTCAAAAGGACCTTCTTAGGAGAGTCACCGGCTCTAAGTTAACAAAAATAATAAAACTAAACTGTTAATTTCGCCGAGCTTTTATGATGCTCAGGAAAGAGTAAGAAAATGAAAATTTTGTAAAAAATCATCTCACCAATTCATAAAATCATCAAAAAATCTGACAAAAAATTCTCAAGGACATCAAAATAACCTCAACTTCCTTTGGTTCATTAATTCCACTAATATTAATCCAAAAACTTTTTATTTTTTTTTATTAATTTTCCCATAACTAGGAGTCTGATTCGTCGATCATCAAGAAAAACCAAGCAACAAATAGCATCAGCCGGTGGCACAGGTGTCGAGGATTGTAGCATTCAATAATTCAAAAATAATTTAATGATAAGTAAACAATTTACAGATGATAATGTTATGTCGTTTCTGTTCATAAGAATTTATCTTCTCTAAAAAAAAAACAAGAATCATGAACATGACTTAAATGAGTGATAGGTGTATAATAAAAATTAAGGATTAGAACTTTTTTTGTCCGTAAGTAAAATAATCGTACTATTTAAAAAATTTATGATGAGAAATTGTTGAAAAATGACATCAGCGATGATGAGAAATTAAGTTTAAGTTTTGTAACTATATAAATGATGAAACAAAAACCTTTGCATTGAAGCTTTAAAAAATCACTGTTTAATCAAAAAAGTCCTTCTGTATAAGTGGAATTAAAAGTGAAATAATAGCCTCTCCCGAGGCTTTTTTGATTAACAAAAAGAGAAACTTTTTAAAAAAAATTATGATGGCGTAAATAATTTTAGAACCTGAAAGAATTAAGAATTAATTGGAGAATAATTTCCATCTCCTCTAGTTTACCATATCCATCATGTAATTTCCATAATCATTACATATAATTCTTTCCATACATAAAAGTTGTTTTTTAAGAACAATTTGAAATTTATTTTAAAAAATATGTTTTTTCAATTCCTGACGTTATTTATTCCGTTTTTGTTTGTCTAGAATGTTTTTATATTCATGAGAGGTTGGTTTTTATAAATCTTGTGTACATAAAAAAATTGGCAAATCCATGAAATTATTCACAAAAAGAAATAAATTTGTTTCATATCAAGGCTTAGTTTCTAGGTTTATTTGGGAGATTCCTAGGATAGAAAAGGGATTGCGATGTACTACAACACTTACTTGCTTGAGTGGGACGAACATGAGTCCATTGCCGCGCTTAGAGTTCGTCTGAAGGCAGTTCTTTCCTTAGAAACCTTCTGCCAGCTCAAGATATTAAGGTCTCTAGCGTCCTTTTCAACAAATCTAATCCTTGAGATCTTCGGTGTCCCTCGTGATCTCTTGCCATCCATAAAGTCTGCTCCTGTCACTTTTAATACTGGGGCATCTTGTGAGCGTCTGAACACATATCCATATGTACCAAAATATAGGATTTAATTTAAATTAATCTGAGACTAGAAGTAGAGTGCCTCGGAAAGCTTCAGAAACCGTTCCCAGAATTGTGATAAGTCAAAAAAGGTGGAGGAGGCAGCATACCTACTCCTCCAATTAACTTCATAGGATGATTCAACCCATACACTTTAATAGGGATCATTTAAAATTCCCTAAACATAAAAATAAATTCGCAAGAGTCCAAAAACCATTCAGGATTGCAATCTATAGCAAAGAATCTCAAAATAGATTTTTCTTTATAACTTTCAAATTGTTTGATATTTTACAACATAAACAAGAAAACAAGAGTAAAACATAACCTTAGTTGAGAATAGATATTCTCTCTAGCTTCTTTTAATGGATTTGCCCACACGTAAAGAATTGTTATTTTTTTTTTACATTTAAGCATTCTTACGTTTCCCTTTAAGGAATTGAAATTTACATGAAGCGAGTAGAAAAAACAGAAATAATGCAAAATAGAAAATTTACACGTGTCAGCAATTTATGATTGCCGATGGCACTTTTAAATTCAAAACATTATTTACTGAGGCATTCGAGATTCGAGAACCAATTCAAACACTTTTTATAAAAATAAGCATAAATTAGATTAAGTCTGTTACTTATAAAGGCGTTGAAACTTGACAGTTATTGTCTATTTTTTATGTTTTTCAATTTTACTATTTTTGATTATTTTAATTTAAGTGTTAAAGTTTTAATGCCCATAATACCTTAAGAAATTTATCAACTTTCTCGACACTAATTAATTAAATTTTCACTTCTTTAAAAAACAGTAATAAAATGGAAGATATTAATCCTTTTTGTCTGTGTAAAGAGGAAAATGACGGCAAACCAACATTTGCCTATGAATTTAAGTTAACGAAGACAAATTGTTTGCAAATGAGCGCGTTTTTGAATTGGGAAGATATGTTTTGAGTAGGTTGTTGAGCTAGAAGACTTTCTACTCCCTTCCCTCTACTGACATACCAACCTTATCATACCTATCAACCTCCTTCACCCCCTTTCCTTTTCCTCATTGTCATTGGACTGGTTTAAAGGCTACCCAGGCTACCCTAAGTTAGGAATAAAATTTAATATCCTACAATTTGGGATATAAGTTATTTTCCTGAGAGTTCAGGTTAGGTTGCCCAATGTAGCTTTAAAAATCAATCCCTGATCAATAAACGAAGAGCTCCATAGACTCATAAACTATCAACATAAAATTTCCCACCCTTAAAACTGCGCTCAAAACTCCAAAATGATCACAAAACAAATACAAAATAGTTGAAATGAAAATAATAAAATGAACTTTATTAAGAAAAATAAATCTAAACGTATATTGAGAAAGAAATTTAATACTTATGTCATTTTGTAGAAATATGAACTCATGCAAAGTGAATTGTGATGAATAAATTAGAGGAAATTAAAAAAGAAAATAAATTAAACTTCTTTTCTCAACAATTTTATGCTGCTTTCTTACCCAAAAATATAAATTTCCTTTCCGGCTCCAACAAAACAAGAAAACTTTTTCACGCTTTAAAGCACAATGAAAAGAATTTCTGAAGCAAAATTTTGTATGTATTTTTCTGACAATTTATATGCACAAAAAGAAACAGGAACAGCAAAGACTTTTTCTTCATAACAAATATCATAAATTGTTATTAATTTTCTTTTCTCTTTTTGTCAATATTAATACGAAAAAAAAAGAATCTTCTTGTCGAAATTCTCTTTTCTCATTTCCTACATAAACCTTACGAGTTAATCCGAGAGTATTATGAATATCGTTTTTGGATAAAAAGGAAAGGAGGGAAATGTGATGGTTCTTTGTGGAAATTTTGGGAGATTTTTTGGAGCTTTTGTGGTTTTGTAAGTTTTATGAACTATTAAACTTGAATGACACACTGTTAAGAGGTTATCAAGGCACTCTAAGGCCTTAAAACTTTACGCCATTAGTATGGTGACTTTGTTGCATTAGTCAGGTAATTTAGTACATGAGAAGATGCATTAAATGTACTTATCTGCTTCTAAATGATGCAAACCAGCCAAATACAATTGATTCTAACCCAAAAAGTACATTCTACCGAATAGGCAAATAATCCAGGATAGGACTGACATGACCCTAGCTTTGCTGTCGAATTCAATCCAAAACCACATTAAAAATATGACAAACTAGTTCCACAGTCATGTAATTTTGAAGAGGTTTGGCTTGAGGTTGACAACTTGTCAATTTAAAGACTGTATTTGTAGGTTGAGTTGCATTAAATTAAACATTGCACTTCAAAAAACTGACATCGAATTAAATTCGTCTTCAAATCAGCTGTGTGGCTATAGCAGTTGTTCAAACTGTTTGCCGCGGGGTAATGGCTTACCCCTAAGATGTGCCGCTGCTCGAAAAGGTTTGAACAATACTTAGCTATAGGGTCTGAAAAGGTTCGGTCCTTTTGTGTTAAAAGTTTTTCCTAAAGCTAAAGCAAGCAGTTTAATTAACCAAAAGAAATATAGAATCAAAATAAATTTTTGGACAACTTTTAAAAATCTTCCAAAAAATCCACAAGGACTCAACAAAAATAAAATTTTGATGTCAATCTTATGATTCAACTTTTAATGCACAAAATTTAATTCAAAGCACAAAGAAAAAAATTTTCTCGACTTTATCTTACTCTTCAAAAAAAAACGAAACAAAATAAAAGGAATTATGAGCTTAAGTGATTCAAAATAATAAAAAAATCGTAAAGTCTCTTGCCTGTTTTGTAAGACATGAGAAGTAAAATCGTCAGCTTTTAAAATTTTCAGTGAAATAAAATGAAAATGGTTGAATAAAATACCAATTAAATTAGTTGTAGTTAAAAAATTCAATGTGTAAATAATGAAGAAAAATTGAAGAAACTATGCCTGTAATTTCGAGTGGTTGGAAATTATGAATAAGGGGGAAAGCGGCTTTGATAAAATTGTCTTATTTTATGGAGCTGAAAGATTTTTTGGTAATTTAAATGAGGTGATTCTTAAAGAAATGATTTTATGTTTGGGGGTTTAATATTTTTGCCAGGTTTGATGCCAATGCTAGCAAACAGAAATTTTTGAGTTCTAATTATTCGAACTTCGAATTTTTGAGGTTCTTATTTTTCTAAAATCGAATCTTTGAAGTTCTTATTTGTAAAAAAATTCGTTGTGAATTATTATATTTCGAGTAATTTGTAATTTTAGTGAACATTCCCACTAGTTTTTATGATTAAGATAATCACTGTGATGAAATTGCATTCCTTAAATGTTTATGCTTTAAAAAACAGCTAGTTTAGAAAAAATAAAAAGCAACGGACTTTCTTATTTTGAAATTTTACAAAAATATCGCGCAAAATTTTTGAATTTTTTTCGTTTGTAACGGACTCTGTTCTCTTTGCTAACATTGGGTTTGCAAACGTTTGATGAGGATGACCTAGTTGTGGCTCTTTCAAAAATTTGTGTTTGGTTTCTCACTCTGCTTTTATTGATCCCTCTATGACTTATTTTTAAATTTTAAAGAAATGCCCACAGTCAGTGTTGATACCAAGTTGCCTTTGCCCAGATTTTGCCTTTGATCTAGCAAAGTCATGTCTTTGCATAGCGCAACAAAGGCAAAGGTTAAAGGTCAAATTGCCTAAGCTTAGTTCCACCCTTTTAAAGTCAAGTATCAATACTGCCCACAGTTTTGGTTAAGGCATCAATTAGGATACCAGTCATAAAATGACAAAAATCTCATTTCATTTCAAAAAGCTAATTTTCTTCAAGGCTTTAAAAAAAAGATTTAAATTAATACTGAGCCTCTTAAAATGATTCTAAGCCAGTGATGCTTAACCCTTGAGCTGCGAAAAATTTTGAGATATCCCACGAACCATATGCTGTGCCCGGTTTTAGCTAGAACTTACCACAAAGTGTTGCATGCCTCAAAAAAGGTTGGACATCACTGTTCTAAGCCATTAAACTACATCAAACCACAAACCCCATTCATAATTTCATACCACTCGAAGCTATAACTTATACTTGTGACAAAGTGGGATGGTTGCATGTATTTTAGAATAAATAATGAAGTAGTAATTAATTTTCAGTTTATAAAATGAATTATTTCTTCCCATTTTTGCGTAGACAAAAATAGTTTGAAATTAAAAATCGTCCAAATTAAATTTTTTGATAAAAATGATAAAATATAGCCGAGAGGAAAAAGCTTCATTGCATGTTAACGATGTGCAATTAAATAATTTAT